AGGGGAGGATCAGGCCTGATATTGAGAAATTCACATCCAGACTCTACTCACACCTTCAGTTAGAGCCTCCTTCTTATTCAGGGTAAAGCCTGAATTTGGGTTTCAGGGGGAGAGATTCAGTAGAACTAAGAATGACCCTGCTCCTTCCTCAGCTGTACGAGCTTGATGCAGATCCCAAGAGGAAGGAATTTCTGGATGATCTGTTTACTTTCATGCAGAAGAGAGGTGAGTGAGGTAATGGGGGAAGGAGCCCTGGACTGCTCCCTTTCCAGATTTTAGAAAGGGAGATTATTCCGGGGTGTAGTCCCCAGGTGTGGTCCTCCTGCACAGTGCTGAGGTTGGCAGCACCTGTCCTTTGGGCCTTCAATAACATCTTTAACCTCTGACCCTGCCCCCCCTTCCCCACCCCAGGATTAATTAGTGGCCGGCCCACTGGCAGGTTAATGAGTGTGGGATCAATTGGGAGGGTGGGAAGGGGAACTGGTAGGAAGCTGTCTTGGGGTAAAGGAGTGCCAGGGCTGGAGGGCTGGGAATGCCTTGGTTCTTTCTCTATGGTGGGCTCTTTACCTAGCCTTGTCTCTTCTTAATTTCCCCTTACTTTAAGCCAAGGGATGCCCCATGTGTCCTGTAGGAGAAAGGACTGGGATTGGATTGAAGGGAGATAGAAGGGACTAGAAACCACACTTAGTGGGCAGTGGAGAAGGAATTTCTTTCCAGGTATCTCAGTGCTGGAAGAATGCAAGAAGGTTCCAGGAGGGGATTGGGGTAGGCAGCAGTCCATCACTTCCGCTTCTCCCCAGATTCATGGGACTGAACACTGACTCATTATCTCTCTCTACAAAGCTAATTAACTCACTCAGAGTGCAGCCTGATAAGCTGCTAATTAACTGGCTGCACTGCACCCTCCCCTTAGTGCAGCTGCTAGCCCAACACCAGGTCCCTCCAGACCCCACCCTAGGCCCTGCATCTCTTGCCAGTGCCTTCCTTCCCAGAGACCCTTGGTGGGGCCCCAGATCTGCTTTCTCCCCTGGGAGTTCTGGTCATTCCTGTCCTGGTGTCCCCTCTCTGTCCCTTCCTCAGAGCCTCTTCTCCACTGAGAACGGTAAGGCGTTTTGAGAAGATCCCAACACTGCCCACACCCCCGTAGCTCTGCTTTTCTTCCTCCCTCCGCTCCGCTGCGGAAGAGGGGGGGCTCCCACGGGGCCGATAATTTCCCCCCATTAATCAGGCCGCAGCTAATTGTTCGGGTCCAAAGGCGACGGTGGAAGGGGACGGGATCGGTAAAGAATTAACTGGGGCCCATCGCTCAGCGCAGACAGGCCCCTTTGTCAGATCTGGATGGCGGGGGCGGCGCAGGCTGCGGAGTTGGCTGGTCCAGGCAGGAGCCGATTCTTTGCCCGCCATCCCCTGGCCTTAAGCAGTAACTGAGAGTTTTCAGAGAAGTCCAGCTCTTTGGTACTATCCACAAGTCCTTCCTATAATCTACCTCAGGTTAGCGAACTAAAGCTTTCAGGCTAAATACAGCTGCCACCTATGTTTTAATGTATTTAGAAAATACAATTAGGAGAGGAATAGCATTGCTACACTGTGAAATTCGGAATCCACGACCTGTCAATAAAGTTTTATTGGAATACAGGCATACCCACTTCCTTAAGTATTTCTAAGGTTGCTCTCGGGTTGAAATTGCAAAATTGGGTAATTGTGACAGCTACCACTTAAACCACAAAGCCCTAATATTAATCATCTGACTCTTTACAGGGCAAGTTTGCTGACCCCTGTTCTTAGCCCCCTGTTCTTGTAACAAGAAAGGCATCACGGCTCTGTCATCCTTCCATCCTTCCTTTCCTTCTCAGGAACCGGCCCCAAATCCCAGGCCAAGCCTCGCAGATATCCAACTCCTTCAGGCCCCCAGGGAAGACCACAGATAGGACTTTGTTTTAGTCACCTGACGCTTTACCTATTCCACAACAGGGACGCCAGTAAACCGCGTACCCATCATGGCAAAGCAGGTGCTGGACCTGTACGCATTGTTTCGCCTGGTGACGGCCAAAGGCGGCCTGGTGGAAGTCATCAACCGAAAAGTGTGGCGAGAGGTCACTCGCGGCCTCAGTTTACCCACCACCATCACCTCGGCAGCGTTTACCTTACGCACTCAGTGAGGCCAGGAGCGCAGGCAGAAGCCAAGGGCAATCCGGGGCTGAGGGTGGAGGAAAAGCATGAAGGATGGGGTGGGTGTGTGGGACTTGATTGGCTGGGCCCAGCCTTTCTCTCCATGTCCACCCCTAGATACATGAAGTACCTGTACCCATACGAGTGCGAGACACGGGCTCTCAGCTCCCCGGGCGAGCTCCAAGCCGCCATAGACAGCAATCGGCGAGAAGGACGTCGCCAGGCTTACACCGCGGTCCCGCTCTTCAGTGTAACGGGGCCGGGACCAGGCCCTCGCGGCGCTCAGGGTCCCGCCCTAGGTCCAGGTCCTGGCCCCGCCCCGCCCCCGCCCCAGCTCGCTCCCGGCCCTGCCCAGAGTTCCGCCTCTGGCCTGCCAGCGCACGCTTGCGCCCAGCTAAGCCCCATTAAGAAAGGTGCGAGAGAAAGGGTGCAGAACTTGGGATGGGGGGTGAAGGTTGTCTCAGTTCTATACAAGCACGGAGGTGCAACAAACAATACAGGGGTTCTAAGGTTCACAGGCTTTGTGGCAAGGAAGCGACAAGATCTAATGGAGTTCTGAGGCTTGGAGATTGCTAAAATAGAAAGATCCTGAGGGTTGGGGATCAGTAAAGCCTCGAGAGTGCTAGCTTACCTCTGTGCTGGGGCTGAAGCTCAGGAACATAGCTCGTTTCACACCTATTCACATAACGCACCAAATTGGTGTGTTGGCTCTACACTTTCAGAGCCTCTAGACTGAGGCTGTAGGTAGGAAGAGAGATTGAACTTTGTGTGTGAAGTTCAAGTGACCGCTTCTGGTCCCAGACATTGGGGAGAATCAAATACAAAGACAAGTTGGGTTGGGCCAAAGGAACTAAATGATGTCTTCTTTCAGAGGAAAGTGGAATTCCAACCCCTCGTCTGACATTACCTGTGGGTCTGGCTTTGGGGCCTGCACGAGAGAAGTTGGCACCAGAGGAGCCTCCAGAGAAGAGGGCTGTGCTGATGGGCCCCACTGACCCATCTCGACTTGGTGCACCCCCCAGTTTCCTGCCCCGTGGCAAAATTCCTCTGAGGGGTGAGGAGGGGTTTGCTAGTGAGGGTCTTTGAGCTTGTGTCCCATCACACAGTGGAGGTAGAACTGATAAATCCTTCAATAGACAACTATGTAAGTATAAGCATAGGACAAAACAGAGCCAAGACTATCTGTAGGAATGGGGGAGGGGATTCTAAGTTGAAGTCTCATTCCCCAAAATGTGACTCTTCTACTCTATCCCGGACAGAAGAGCGCCTGGATGGACCCCTCAATCTGGCGGGCAGTGGCATCAGCAGTATCAACATGGCACTAGAGATCAATGGGGTGGTCTACACTGGTATGGATACTGTAGGCTTTCTACACTGGCATGGAGTTGGGATTTAGACTGGCATGGGTATTTTAGACTTTCCCTACTAGCATGAGGTTTAGTGATAAGTGAACTTACATGGATAACTTGAGCTTCATGGATTGTTACATTGGCATGGGATCCAAGGCAAAGGTCTCTGTAGCATGGTTACTATAGGAGTTTGCCTTGTCATGGGCCTTTTATGGTGCCAATATTTCTTATTGTTGGAGGATATTAACTTTGGCAAGGGAGTTTCTCACTGAACTCAACAGCTTGCCCTCATTGATTTGTGGCAAGATTATACATGAAGACCTCTAACAATGAGGACCATTTTGTTCCCTTCTTTCATCCCTCCCTATGCTTGTGTTTGCCTTTTACTATCTCCTCACTTTTTTTTTTTTTTTGCCAGGTGTCCTTTTTGCCCGCCGTCAGCCTGTGCCAGCTTCCCAGGGCCCAACCAGCTCTGTACCCCCACCCTCTACAGGACCTCCTTCTAGCACCTTGTCCTAAGAATTCCTACTTAGAACTAAGAATCCCAGCTCCATTTCTGAGGGTGAGGAGGAACCCTTCCACCTTGGTTCTTTCAGGATGCCTACTCTGGAACTCAGTCCTGGGAGATGACAGCACCCTACCTCCATGCCAAAGCAATTTCTTCTGATGTTTCATCTACCTCATTGTAAAAAGAGGGCACTTCCTCCCTAGCCATGTCTAGCAGTATCTACCAAAGAACTCCCCAGGTACACCCTATCATGTATCTTCTCATGTGCTCCCGTGTCAATATCATCTCTGGCACCTTACCTATTTGAGTCAACCCTGCTTCTCTTCAAGAGCCAGGTGAAGGGTTGGGTTGAAGCATTGTAGAGGAGACATCCCTCAGGTAGCATTTGGAAAATAAAGCTATCCCTCCTTCTCTGGTGTGTCCTTTTATTTGGGTCTTGGAAGTTGGGAGGAATGATTTGGTATGAGGGCTGCATCAGGCCAGGATCTCGTTCAGGAAAAGGCAGAATACAGACTTCCCAAGAGAATAGCTGCATAAGAATAGCATATATTCTCTTCAACCATGCTCGGTTTCAAATCCAGATTTTGTCTCAAAAGTTCTGGCTGGCATTGGGTAGGTCATTCACTCACCCGCTTTGAATCTTAAGTCTCAGGAAGTTTCCAACTGATCTTTCTATAGAAATGGACCTGGAGTAGTGGCTGTATTCATTAATTACACATGCAATCTCAGATAATGGGTAGAAAAACTCCCTGGTACCTTGGAAGTAGAAGTATGTAAGACAAAATTCTTGACAATTGGGGTTGAGCCAGGATAGGGAGCGTTGCCTAGGTAACAAGACCGCTTTTAACACCTATCGCTAGCCTGGCCTAATGTCTTCCGGTATTGAAGGCTGGGTCGTGACGTCACTTCCGTCATGGAAGGCCATGGGTGCACTTGGATTGGTCAGTTTTCCTATTTGGGAAGGAAGTCCCGCCTCTGGATGTTCGGTGACTTGGTCCGGGTGGCAGCAGCGATGGCGGCTCTGACTGACGTGCAGCGGCTGCAGGCTCGAGTGGAGGAGCTGGAACGCTGGGTGTACGGCCCTCACGGGACTCGAGGCTCGCGGAAGGTGAGCAATCTGGTCCCGTGGCCTGTTTCTGGCAGCGGGACCACTAGCCCTGCCTTTGGGATGGATGCCACCGCTCCATTTCCAACGCCCACAGCGTTGGAAATTAAAATGTCCAGGCTTCTCGGAACAGATGGGACCCTCGGAGTCCACTCCTGTGGGACGAGGGGCGGGTCTGAAGACAGTTAGGGCTGTTTGAGATGGACTCTGACAACTGTAAGACCCCGCCCCTGCCGTCTTAGGCTCGGTGGGGAGACCTGACACACTCAAGGAGCAGGCTAATGAAGAGTTTCACTAAAAGCTGACGCCCACAGGAAGTGCCATCTTGTAGTGTAATTAATTGCTAAGTGAATTGTGCGTGGAGAGGTCCATGGGACCCTACAGGAGGCTAAGTGGATGGGAGGATCCACTTACAGGTGGATAAGAAGGCTCCTAGGAGTGAGAGGTGAAATCTGAGAAGACCTAGATTAGGAGGGTCAGAGACTGAATGCTAAAATGTTCATATGTAGACGTAAATTAATTTATTTTGGTGTTGCTACTGGGGCTTGAACTTAGGGCCTGGATGCTGCCTTTGCTTTTTCGCCTCCCACGGGTATCTGTCCAATATAACCTATGAAAATGGATTTGTCTACTGGTCTTTTCCATTTGGCTAACAGACATCTCAGGCTCAACTTACATGCTCTTAACTGTACTTCTCCCCTAATCTGATTCTCTTCTGTATTCCCTAATGCAGGGATTGAAACATCATTGGGATCCTAGAGTTCATCATAGACTTTTATATCTCCTACACTAGACTTCAAGTGGAGGGGATGGGCCTAGATATAGGCCAGCCAGTCTGGCAGCTGATACAGTCATGGCTAGTCATGAGGTAATAAAGGCCTAGATACTTGAATTTCTATGCCCAAACTCAGGGTTTAGGAATTAGAGAATATATAGTAGGGACTGGTACCTCTTAAATTTATATTAGTTCATTACCTTCTTATTTGGACTTTAGACTCTCCAAGAAGTACATGACTTTCATATCAAGGATTCCCTGAAAGCGTGACTACATCTTTAATCAAGAGAAAAATATCATTATAGATTACTAGGACTCAGAGACTTGAGAGACTAGAGAAATTAGGGTTCTTTAGGTCTTCCAAGCCTTGGATCAGGAGGTGTATCTTGGAATTAACCTCTATTTCCTTAACAGGTGGCTGATGGTCTGGTCAAGGTGCAGGTGGCTTTAGGGAACATTGCCAGTAAGAGGGAGAGGGTGAAGATTCTGTACAAAAAGAGTGAGTACTTTCATGGGATGCCTGCTTAATTTACTTCCCAAAAGCCTATGCTTCCCGGGACCTGATTGTGACTTTTCAGCTAGTAGATCACTGGAATATCCCCTTGAGAATATAAAGAATGTGAAGGCATTTCTCTACCAAATTGGGGTTTGCTCTCCTACCTGTGTATAAATCACAAGTCAATGCCAGTGTTCTGTCATTGGATGAGAGCTTTTCTTCAAAGGTTCAGCTTTTCTTATTGAAGGAGGGGAAGAAAATATGGATTTTTTTTCTCTAAGAAAGGTGAAGAAGCAGGAAAAAATTAACCATTGAGAGCTTTGGTTCAGCCAAGCCTTTTAAACTATGTCACAGCTAGTAACTTGTTCAGTAACTAGAAATTAGATAGCACTAATTTGTCTTGGTGGAATTGCGGAGGAAAGGGGCCTTTTATCCTTGGTAAAGAATAGGTCAGTGGGAATGCTGGGGGCCCCAGTGTGTGGCAGTGATGTGCTTTCCAAAGCATAGGTTCAACTAGCAAGTGCTGATACTGGAGAAACTGGGAAGTAGGATAGGAGCCATTCCCTAACCTTGTGAGTTCTATTTTTCATCTTTTTGATCTTTTTTTCTCTTTTTTCAGCATTGGTGCTTGAACTCAGGGCCTTGGGTGCTGCAACCTTAGCTTTTTCACTCAAAATTAGTGCTTTATCACTTGAGTCACAGATTGACTTCTGAGTTTATTTAATTGAAGATAAGATCCTCACAGACTGGGCTGGGAAGGTGGCTCAGTGGTAGAACGCTTGCCTTGCATGCCTGAGGCCCTGGGTTCGATTCCTTAGCACCACATACGCAAAAAGAAAAAAGCTGGAAGTGGCACTGTGGCTCAAGTGGTAGAGTGCTAGCCTTGAGCTGAAGAGCTGAGGGACAGCGTCCAGACCCAGGGTTCAGGCCCCACAACCGGACCCCCCCCCAAAAAAAAAAAAAAAAGATCCTCACAGACTTCCCTGCCTAGCCTGGCTTCAAATTTCAATTCTTAGATCTCAGCCTGGCCAGTAGCTAGGATAACAAGTGTTAACACTTTTTTCAGTACTAGGCATTGAACTTGCTGGGAAAGAATTCTATTACTTGAGCCACATACTCTCACTCCTAATAGTTAAAAGCTAGATAAGTATATGTGCTTTATGTATTAAGCCCAGGGCCTTGTATATGCTAGGCAAGTACTGAGCTATATCCTCAGCCTTCCTTTCATTTTTTAGTAAGTTTTTTTATTGTAAAAATATTGTTCAGAGGGGTTACAGTTACATGAGCAAGGTAATGAGTACATTTCCTATCAAGCATTGTTGCCTCCTCCTTTGTTTTTCCCCTACCACCCCTTCTCTTCCACCTCCACAACTACACTCCCACCCCCTTTCCCCCCAAATTGTAAAGTTTGTTTTTCAACATAGTGTCTTGTACATCTCATTGTTACAATGGGTCAACCTATATCCTTATTTAAACATTTTGTTTTTCAGCCTTCATTTTCATTGTTCTATTTTTCTAGTTGAAGACCTGATCAAATACCTGGATCCTGAATACATTGATCGAATTGCTATACCTGATGCCTCTAAGTTGCAGTTCATCTTAGCAGGTAATTCTTGACTACATGTGCATGTGCATCTGAGGATCTAGGTTGTGGGGGAATGAGCACAGAAATGGCCTCTCTCTTCCAACTTATTATATATACAGCCCTAAAAACGACTCTGGAATTCTGACCCAGCTTTAGGCTGAAGCCCATGTGCTCCTATGGGTCTCTAGTTAGCACTGGGTGTAGTATAACTCTGGGATAGCTGTCTTCCATTGTCAGCCAAAGTGGGAGCTACTCCAATGTTGGAGGATTCTCATTAAAAACCTTTCTCACTCTGCTTACTGGACAGAGATATGAGAAGGAGATGAGGTAGAGAACATTGTCATTGGGAGAAAGGAGAGTTTTGGCATGAGTTTGAACATTTTTCTTTCATATGAGAAATATCTGAGATTTCAGAGCTAAGCTAGGAAGCAACAGTTGCTCAGATTTTCAGTATATCAGTTGTCACAGCTATTCAAGAGACTGAGGCAGGATGATTGTAAATTTGAGGCCAGACTGGGACAACATAGTGACACCTTGTCTTTTTTACAAAAGAAAAGATTTAGCTAGATGTTAGTGGCTCAACCCTGTAATCCTAGCTACTGAGGAGGCTAAGATCTGAGGATTGCAATTCAAAGCCAGCCTAGGCAGGAAAGTCCATGAGACTCTTTATCTCCACTTAAACATCAAAAAGCTAGAAGTGAATCTGTGGCTCAAGTGGTAGAGTGCTAGCCTTGAGCAATAATTTAGCTTAGAGACAGCACCTAGGCTCTGAGTTTAAGCCCTAAGACCAACACACAGACACACACACACGCATATACACACAGAGGAAACTATTTAATGCTCATCTGCTGTGATCCAGGCTTTCTCCTGGGTATAAGGCATGCTATACCAGAAAGCCCTTGCCCCTTTGGGCAAAATCAGACGTAAAAGAGACAGAATTCTTTCTTTAAGCACTTAAGATTGTAACCTAACTTGGAGATCAATCTCTCAGAAGACTGATAAATGAATATAATGTAACACTGAGGGCTGGGTGGGGAAGAGAAGCTCCTGCTAAGAGGAACTGTCAGAAGTCATAAAAAGGCTCCTGATCAATTGCCATGGCTCAGGTACCAAATTCAGGAGATCTTCCCCTGAACTGACTGGAGCCCAGTTCTCCTTCCCTCCCTACACACTGTCTCAGAGTATACATCTATATGCAGGTGAAGTTACATAGTCTCATAATCATCTTGATTTTAGTTTTTCCCTTCTTGCATGTGGTCCAGTTCCATCTTCACAAAATGTTTTGAACATGTAACTTGCCTACTTTTGAACCTCAGTGTCTCTTTTCTCTTTCTTTTCTTTCTTTCTTTTTCTCTCTCTCCTCCTCCTTCTTCTTCTTTTTTTTTTGGTGCTAATACTAGGGCTTAAACTCAGGACCTGAACACTGTCCCTGAGCTTTTTTGCTCAAGACTAGTGAGTCACATCTCCATTTCTGACATTTTGATAGTTAATTGGAGATAATATAATAGCCTCACAGACTTTCCTGCCTGGCCTGGATTTGAGCCACGATCCTCAGATCTCAGCTTTCTAAGTAGCTAGGATTACAAGTATGCACCACCAGTGTCTGGCAGTGTTTCTTTTCTTAACTAGGATAAATGCCTAATTATTTAGCCTACCATTAAAAGCCTGCTAGCCTATTGAGCCTGCCCTTTTTCCTGTTGTGGTCTTCCTGCTCCAATTCAGCTAGTTGAATTCTTTTTCCTCATTCTTACATTGTCATTTGTACATAATAGTCTTCACTCTTTTTTAAAAAATTCATCTTTAAGAGTTGTCTGAAGAATTGCCATTCAACAATAGTCCTCACTCTTAAATGCCTTTCTACTGACACCCCACTGTATTTTCCACAGTAGACAAATTCCACTGGATTTCAGTATATTGAAATCCCCTTAGCATACAGAGTCTAGCCCAGGTCTACTCTCCCATTGTTCTCCCAGCTCTCCTATTATCTGTGTCTAAGAGCCACTACACAAAACCTTCCTAGGCTGGGAAGGTGGTTCAGTGGTAGAGTGCTTAACCTTGCATGCATGAGGCCCTGGGTTCGATTCCTCAGCACCACATAAGCAGAAAAAGCCTGAAATGGCACCATGGCTCAAGTGGTAGAGTGCTAATCTTGAGCTGAAGAGCTGAGGGACAGCGCCTGGGCCCAGAGTTCAGGCCCCACGACTGACCAAAAAACAAAAAATAAAACCTTCCTGGCATAGTCTGCCATGGATCTCCTCTAACAGACCTTCCCTGAGGTCTTCTGTTGGGGAACCAAGTTCAAAGTACTCTTCCTCTTGTGGCTAAGAGCACTTGTTGAGTTGCTGATAGGCGGCTTTAAGAAGAGACTGTGGAGTTAAAACCTGGATAAAGGTGGGATTTGTAGAGATCAAGAGGCTTTTTGGACTCAAAATGGGTTCAACAGGAGCATCCAGAGGGTGGGATGGAAATGTACATCTACAGGGATAGAAAGTGGACAAGGCTGCTGCCCAAAGCTCCAGGGTCTAGGTAGATGCTTGACTGCTTGCGTGGAAGTAGCAATGACCAGGCCATTGTCTTGTTTTTATGCTTCAGAGGAGCAGTTCATCCTTTCCCAGGTTGCACTCCTGGAGCACGTGGATGCCCTTGTGCCCATGCTGGACAGTGCTCCCATCAAAGGTACCCCCCCCCCCCCCCCCGGGGCTGCAACTCCACTATTTGTGCTTGGGGAGGTGGGTGGATGGGCCTTGACTTCCCTGGGCTTAGGCTGGGTCTGTTCATCCTCTTTATCCCTACTTTAAGGATACTTATCCCCTAACCGGGATTAACATTCCCATGGTAGAAAGCCTTGATTCAAGACCTCAGGTAATTCAGAATTAAGGATCCTAGATCTCAAAGCCCCCCAACTCTGCAGATTCCTTCTGCTTTCTACCCTACTGCTCAGTATCCCCCTTTCAGGGTGGTGTAGAGTCTAGATTTTACTGACTGAGCCCCTGCCAGGTGTGTGAACACTTCTTGCTGCACTGCTGAGACAGTCCTTGGGCCTGAGCTTTGACAAGTAGGCAGTGGCTTTAATTGAATCCAGATATCCATCTTGTCTGCCTCTGGAGGTATTTTCCCGAGCTTCCTTTCTCTGCCCCTGACCAGCTAAACACTGAGTATCTGACAGCTACAGTTCTAACGTGGTGGCCAAAGCTCTCTCAGTGTTAGATTCTCAGTAGCTAGTTTAGGGACCTGGCATTCACTCTCATTCTGCCTACAGGTTCTCTGCTCTCTAGACCAGGCAGACCTCACCTCTGCTTGGATGAGAGCAGACACCTCTGCTCTACCTCTGTCCTACGAAAGACAAAGCTTTGCTTTCTTTTTTTTTTTTTTCTGGCCCTATTTATAGCATCTGTATGGTAGAAGGGGCAACAATGGGGACTCCTATGTTGTTTTTTTGATACTTGTTCTTCCCATCCCCTATGGGTCCTGGAATAAGAATGGGGTGGGCAGAGAGCCCCACCACCACCACCTCCAGCTACAACAATCGATGAAGCCTTGCGTTTGTTTAGCTTCTCCACTCAATACTCTAATCCTGCCAAAGACCTAATAGACTATTGAGCAGTCCCAGGGGAGGGCACAAGCATCATCAGGCAGTGTGTATGTTGTGTTTCACAGCCGTTCCTGAGCATGCTGCCCACTTGCAGCGCCTGGCCCAGATCCACATCCAGCAGCAGGTATGGAAAGGGAGAGGACTAGAAGGTGCAAGTGGTAAGGCACCTCATCCCCATTCCTGCCAGCTGAGGGAGCAGCCTCCAGTCCTTCAGTTGTCCACTCAGAGGAATATTGAAGGTTTATTCTTAATCTTCCAAATATCCTAGAGCGGGGAAGGGACTGGTTTACAGCCATATACAGGCTTCTTGCCTCCTGGAGTACTGCTATTCAAACACCAGAAAGCTGAAGTTGGGAGGTACCTAATAAATTTTTTTTTTTTGGGGGGGGGGGGGTCCAGTTGTGGGGCCTGAACTCTGGGCCTGGGCGCTGTCCCTCAGCTCTTCAGCTCAAGGCTAGCACTCTACTACTGGAACCACAGCACCCTTTCCGCCTTTTTTCTTTTTGCTTATGTGGTGCTGAGGAATCGAACCCAGGGCTTCATGCATGCAAGGCAAGCACTCTACCACTGAGCCACCTTCCCAGCCCATACCTAATAATTTCTAAGAGTGGTATGTCCTTCACTCTAAGTGGAGGAACTTTTTTTTTCTATTTCTAGGCTGTAGAGTCAAATCAAAGAGGGTACAGATAGGAACAGAGGAGATAGATACTAGAGGAGATATATACTAGAGAGAATGTTTACTTAATATTTGTTCACTTCATCTTTCACTGTTCCTTTTTTTTTTTTTTTTGCCAGTCCTGAGGCTTGAACTCAGGGCCTGGGCACTGTCCCTGAGCTTCTTTTGCTCAAGGCTAGCACTCTAGCCACAGTGCCACTTCTGGTACTGAGGAATCGAACCTAGGGCTTCATGCATGCTAGGTAAGCACTCTACCACTAAGCCACATTCCCAGCCCCCTTTCACCATTCTTTAAACTGCTTTGAGAATGCCTGTCCTAGCAGCTGAAAGTTCCACCTTAGCGATTAATTTGCTCCTTTTGTTCTAGATTTAGGCATCCTCTTTCCTAGGCTTTGTGGGGAGTAGGTCAGGAAGGTTAGTAGGAGATGGGGGAGATGCCTAACTCCTCTCTCAGTTATACTCTGACTTATAGGATCAGTGTGTGGAGATTACTGAGGAATCCAAGGCTCTCCTGGAGGAATACAACAAGACTGTATCCTTTCTTCTCAGCCAGCTCCCTAATAGGCTCCCTCCCCAAGCCTACCTCAAGCTGCCTCACACCCAATCCCAACCAGCCTGTCTGTACTCTACTCTCCACTCCTTGTCCCATTGGGGCACATACAAAGTCTCTTCACTCCTGTTCTCCTTGACCTGTGACTAGACAATGCTTCTCTCCAAGCAATTTGTGCAGTGGGATGAGCTACTTTGCCAGTTAGAGGCAGCAAAGCAAGTGAAACCAGCAGAAGAATGACAGCTCCTCTCCATCCCAGGGCAGCCACATTGCAGGACCCTGTGCCTATCTTATATAACAGGGCAGAAGCAGCTTTGTATTTATTGGCTTCAAGGACCAACTGTCTGTACTCAAGTAAGGCTCTGAGGTCAGAGGTTAAGTTTCCTGAAAGATGTGCTTTGCACCCCATCAGTGTATTTATTCCAGTGACAATAAACTGTACACATCACCGGAGGAGTGTGCTTCTTGGTCTAGGATGGGCTTCGTGGTGACAATGGAAGCAGGTAAGGGCTGAATGGTCAACCTACCTAGTGGTGGGACCAGGAACACACTAATGCTGGTCGGGTTTTCTGGGAGAAAAGCTCTCAAGATGCTTTCAGATCATTTGACAGATGCACACAGGACTTTTTTTTTGGGGGGGGGTCCGGTCATGGGGCCTGAACTCTGGGCCTGGTGCTGTCCCTCAGCTCTTCAGCTCAAGGCTAGCGCTCTACCACTTGAGCCAAAGCGCCACTTCTGGCTTTTTTCTTTTTGCTTATGTGGTGCTGAGGAATGGAACCCACAGCCTCAGGCATGCAAGGCAAGCGCTCTACCACTGAGCCACCTTCCCAGCCCCAAACACAGGACTTTTATATATCCTGTCATTTCACATTTACCAAGTACCCTGTGAATATTAGGTGCCATGCCAGGGAGGGAGGACTACCTATTAGGCTACCTATAGGCTACCTATTCTTTTCCCTGCATAGACTATTGGGGAAACTATCAAGGAAAAGGGCAGTCCTGCCAAGTGGGTACAGAGTCCTTTCAGACACAGAACAAGGAATTGAGGGAACTTGCCTTGGTGGGTGATAAGCAAGGACTTTATGAGCCAAGGGAGCAGAAGAGTACGTGCAAAAGCAAAAAGGGGTCTGAAAATTTCTCTCGGGAGCGCGTCTGGTGTCACACCTCAGGAGGTCGAGTTTCTAAGGAAGGGGACTTGGAAGGCAGGGTTGCTGGATGGGAAAGGGCAGGAGAAAGGAGTTGGGCACCCTCAGTGTCTGCTGCCCCCTTGTGGTCCCGGGGAGGGCCTTGGCTCCCCGAGCCGCCGCCGCCGCCGCCCCCCACAGTGCTCCCGGTCCCCTCGAGTCCAGCGTGCTCAGGCGCGACTCCACGGACGCGCCCCCGGGCTCGTGAGGACGCTGCGGGGCCCTGGGCCTCCGCGTGCGGCCAGGGCGAGCTGTGCACAGCTTCCAGGGTGATCGAGGTGCTAGCCCCAGAATTCAGCAACCAAGGACCTGGTCGGCTGCCGCCCCCGGGCCTGGAACGGCCGCTCGCTCGCTCCCGCGGGGTCGCCCACCGCCCCCTCTCCGCCTCGCCCGCGCTCCCATCTCCTTCCCGCAGAACTCGGCTGACGGCCGCCGAGCCCTGCCCGGGTCATGGCGCCGCGCGGGCTGCGCGTCCCCCCGGCTGCCCGGCCCGGCCGTCCAGCGAGTCCTGGGCTGCCCGCAGGCCCCGCCCCCTCCGGCGTGCGCGGCCCCGCGGCCCCAGCGCGCTCTCGGCCCGCGCGCCATCTTGGCTACGCTCTGAGGGCCGAGCGTGGTCTGGCGGCCGCGGTAAGCGCCGGGTCTCAGCGGTGTCGGGGCCGCTGAAGTTGGGGAGAGGGGGCGCCCGCTACGCTACGGGTTTGCAGCGCACAGAACGCTGGGAGCGGCCCGTGGCGGGGGATTGGCTGAGACCCGCCACCGAGGCCCAGGCAGTCCTCCGCCCAGGCCTCCGCTCCCGAGACCTCAGTGGGCCATCGGAGGCCCTCCCCGGCCTAGGCACCCCGGGCGCTGAGGCTTTGTGTTGGGGGAACAGTGAGGGAGGCCTCTATATGTATCCTGAGGTGGAGGGGGTGGGCCCTGCTCTGTCCTTGGAGACCCTAGTCTTGTTAAAGTCCTAGGGTGATAAGAACGGCCAGAATGAGTTCCCAGACTCGGGGTGATCGGGGGCCAGCCATGTCCCCCAGAGGCTTGATGTCTGGGGAACTAGGTCTGGTCTCCGGACTGGGTCACTCTGCACAACTTGGTGGGAGGTAGAGGATGGTAGAGGATGGTGGAGGGAGGTGGAGATGGCGGAGGGCGGCCTGGAGCACATTCCTAGCACTCATCTGTTGCTTTCCTTCAGTGAGTAGCCAGATTGCTTCGAGAGGCCACCGCCAGCAGGATGGAACACTACCGGAAAGCTGGCTCTGTAGAACTTCCGGCACCTTCCCCAATGCCCCAGCTACCCCCTGACACCCTGGAGATGCGGGTCCGAGATGGCAGCAAAATTCGAAATCTGCTGGGGCTGGCCCTGGGTCGGTTGGAGGGTGGCAGCGCAAGACACGTGGTGTTCTCAGGTTCCGGCCGGGCTGCTGGGAAGGCTGTCAGCTGTGCCGAGATTGTCAAGCGGCGGGTCCCAGGTCTGCACCAGCTCACCAAACTGCGTTTTCTACAGACGGAGGACAGCTGGGTCCCAACTTCACCTGATACAGGCCTAGACCCCCTCACAGTGCGCCGCCATGTGCCTGCAGTGTGGGTACTGCTCAGCCGGGACCCCTTGGACCCCAGTGAATGTGGCTACCAGCCCCCAGGAGCACCCCCTGGCCTGGGCTCTATACCCAGCTCCAGCTTTGGTACCCGGTCCCGAAGGAGGGCTCGAGACACTCGGTCCTGAAGATCTGCAGAGACAGGTTGTTCTCTAGACCTGAGTATCTGTGATGGATGTGCCTTACCTGAGAACCACTTGTGATTCAACATCCCCAGCAAGGCTAGTTCCACAGAACTTTGGCTCTTTCCCTCTGGAATGTAGAAAGGTTCTGCTATGAAGAATGACAGGTGTGGAGTCTCTTCTGAGTTCTGGATTGTTTGAGAAGGGCTTACCCTCCCTCTAACTACAGGACATCTGATCTTCCTTGTGATAGAGGTCCAGGGAGGGAAATAAAATTCAGTTCATTTGTCAGATGAGCTTTTGCTCAGCCTGCTGTGTGGAAGTGTAATTAAAACATTGGGAGTCTCACCAGGCATTGGTGGCTCACGCCTGTAATCCTAGCTACTCCGGAAGCTGAGATCTCAGGATTGCTATTCAAAGCCAGCCGGGGTAGGAAAGTCTGTGAGACTCATATCTCCAATTAACCACCAGAAAATAGGAAGTGGCACTGTGACTCAAAATGGTAGAATGCTAGCCTTGAGAGAAAAAGCTCAGGGACAGTGCCCAGGCCCTGAGTTCAAGCCCTGTGTCTGACCAAACGAGAAACAATGTGAGTTCTCTCCCAGTGAGAAATCATGAGCTGGAAAGAGAGAAAGCGTAGGCCTAGGACAGTCCTAGGAGGATTTGATGTCAAGAAGGAACCTTAAGCACTCTTTAACTAGGCCTCTGGCTGTTGGCCACCTCCTTTGGGTTAGTTTCGGGACTCCAAAGGTCAGATAATTTTTCCCCATCTCTGGCATTTTGTTATAGTATAGTATAGTAAGATATTGGACTCTGACACTAGCCTTCCTGGATTTGAGTTCTGGTTCGGCCAGAAGTTCCTCCCTTGTGACTTTGGCCAAGTTACTGCATAGGCCTTAGTGCTCTCATCCTTTATAGTTTATTTCATAGTGTTCTTAGGATTAAAGAGGTGTACATATTTGATGCTTGATCCTACTTGGACATGTAGAACTATGTAAGTGTTAATTGTTTCTAAATTACTTTTACATATAAATTACTTAGTTTATAAATATGCTTCTTTATGAGACAAGGTCTGCCTGGCACAGACCCTTGAAGTCATGATCCTCCTGCGTTAGCCTCCCAGGGCCTGGAATTACAGGTGTGCACCCACACCTGGCTTCAAGCATGCTTTTTTTTTTTTTTTAAGTTTTTTAATTATACAGTGGGTTGTGATATTTCTATAATGCTCACTATTATTACTCCTCTAATCCCCATTTTTAAAGCTCTTAAGTGTTACCTTCTGTTTTCACAAATGCATATACTTTGGTTATATCCACTGCCCACTTGCCCTCTTATCCCTCACCATGGTTTTACTGCCAAACAGTTCCCCTTTTACATTCACAAATGTGCTTTTTCTTATGTTAAAAAATATGCCTTCAGTCGGAGGTGTGGCTCAAGTGGCAAAGCTCTTGCCCACCAAGTGCTAAGTTCAAATGTTAGTACTGAAATAAAAATAAAACCTTATTGTAATTATCTGTGGTTCACACCCATAATTCTAGCTATAGGGGAGGTTGAGGTGTATAGAATCACAGGTCCAGGCCAGCCTGGGCCACAAGATTTCAAGTCCCCTCATCTCAACCAGTAGCTGGGCCAGTAGCTGGGCACAGTAATGGACACTGGTTGAGATTAGAGGATGGTGGTTCTAGACCAGTCCAGACAAAAAAGACTCCATCTCAAAAACCTGGGCATAGGGCAGTTGTCTAACATCTCAACTATGGCAGGAGGGTCACCAAGCTGGCCTGGGCATAAAGCAAAGCCCTGTCTCAAGGAAATAACCAGAACAAGAAGTGCTGGAGGTATGATTTAAATGATAGAGCTGCCTAGCAAGCACAAATCCTGAGTTTGAACCCTAGTACAGTTAGAAAACAACAAAAATGAACCTGAATTTCATATTTTTCTAAGGTCTCATCTTTGGCTTTTTAACCCTTGCTGGTCTTTTTCTGCCTCAACTTGGCCCTGGACTCAAATTCATCATGATGAGGTTGAGTGGTGAGAGTTGATTGTTTTAGTAGCCAGGTTCTATAGACACTAGGGCAGGATTGTAAGCAGTGGCTCTGAATTGAGGATGGAATCAGTTGGGACTCCCAGGGTTCTCAGGAGTTCAGTAAGTTCAGTACCAGGGTGTTCAGTCATGAGAAAAACAGAAAATTAGGGTTCTGGGTTCACAAAGCGGAACCAACAATTTGAGGATGTTGAAGTGGTGGTTTCTTGAGAGAAACCAAGAGAGACAGAGATGTTAGGAAAAAGAATTGTGGGCACTGGCCACCTTAATAAGGGCTTCAAAGATGGATGAGGAGACCACAGAGCCAGCAGGCTTTAGTCAGAGCTCAAAACATACTGTTTGCTTTTCAAGATAGGTTACCCAATGGAAGACCCTGGGGCAGGTGGTGAGGATTCAGAGTATTAAGCGATCTGAGACCTCAGTTGCTGCACCATAAGGCCCTATGATGCAGGTATCAAACACCCCTGAAGGTGATTATGGCTTCTGTGCTGATTAGGTATCCTGAGAGCAACAACCTGATCTCCAGCTAATTCAGGATTTGGGGTTTTGGCTTTCTCTCACCCTCTATATTCTTCCAACCCCTCCCTCTCCTTTCTTGTCATTAAGAGACCCACACTGGCACTAGCTTTTAATACTGCATCAGCCTCCCCAGTGCTGGATTAGGGGCATGTGCTTATACTCCTTGGAATTCACTTATGTCTTCTGCCATCAGCAGAAGTTCTGGGTGTCCAGAACTTTGGGGTCAGAATATCTTGCAGACTACTGATATTTGACCCTGCATCCCATCCTGATCCATTTTGCTGTGGCAGGGTCACATGTGCTAGGCATGGTGATCTGGGCTGAAGGAATGATTTCAGTAAGGTGGCATTGAAAGCTATGGAGTCCTATGATGGACTCCCAATTGTGCTGAGATACCATCTAAGTTCCCCAGGGTGATGGAAGAGGTAACGTGAGTGGGAACAACTGAGGTCACAATCCTTGGGAACACAGGACCCACACCTCGGAGATTCAGGACATAACTACAGATTGAGGGAGAAGTAGGTTAGCAGTTCTAGGAATTTTCCCTTTCCCTGTTCCCTATAGGGCCCAAGTGAGACCCAGGCAATAGAAATAGAAAGTGAGAGGGGTGAAGTCTTTGGAGCAAGAAAGTCTGCCCAAGTTTGTTTGTTTTTTTTTTTTTTTGGTCCGGTTGTGGGCTTGAACTCTGAGCCTGGGCGCTGTCCCTCAGCTCTTCAGCTCAAGGCGAGCGCTCTACTCTACCACTTGAGCCACAGCGCCACTTCCAGCTTTTTTTTCCTGCTTATGTGGTGCTGAGGAATCGAACCCAGGGCCTCAGGCATGCAAGGCAAGCGCTCTACCACTGAGCCACCTTCCCAGCCCCAATGCCCAAGTTTTTGTTTTTTTTTTTTTTTATTGTAAAGCTACTATACAGAGGGTTACAGTTACATGAGTGAGGTACTGAGTACACTTCCTCTTGAACATTGTTACCCCCTCCATTGTTTTCCCCCTACCATCCCCTCCCTCCCTCCCTTCCCCGAGGTTCTTTTTTTTTTTTTTTGATTGTGATTAAATGATTACATAATTTCAAAGTCACAAGTTCATTCTAACTTCCCTGGAGCAAACTGTCTACCACAGTCTGTAATATATAACAGTGTTCACATGTTATATACCATATTTGTGATCAGCAGCAATGCCCAAGTTTTAAGAAGGTATAACATTCAAGTATGATTCTTCCCACTTTCTCCTTAATCCACTACAATGTGGCCTTTGCCTCTGACTTCTTAGAACAGATTTTGCCTTGGCCAAAAGATAAGGATGTAGGGATACCTCTTTCAAGAATTTGGAGGAGAGATGGCTCCCCGTGAGAGGAAGGACTATGGATGTGTATGCAGGTAGATGTGGAGGGGAAGGTAGAACCCTAGGAAGTTCTGTCTTTGTGAAGCAGCAGTCCAGCTGAGGGTGAGGCAAAGAAACGGGATGAAAGGAAGAGTGAGACAGATGTTGGAATTAGGAGTACATGGAGATGACCAGGCAAGGCTAAAAATGTGGAATGGTAACTATGAACTTGTATAATCAGTGGGAGGGTGTGAGCTCCAACAGCACCCACGAGACAAATGAGGACACAGAAAAGGCACAGATGCATTCTTCCAGACCGTGAAGTTAAGACAGGCAGGAACAATTCACTACTAAGAGAGTTCATGTAAGGAGCTGGGCCCCAGTGGCTCAGACCTATAATACTAGCTCCTTGGGAGGCTAAGATCTGAAGATCTCAGTTTGGAATGAACCTGAGTGGCCAAACATGTGAGACTCAACTAATTTGCAAAAAGCTGACAGTGGAGGAGGTATAGCCTAAGTGGTAGAGTGCCCAGCCTCAGGTAAAAGAGCCAAGCAAGAACACAAGGCCTTGAGTTCAAGCCCCAGTACTGACATGCATGTGTGTGCGCGCGCACAGCCACACCCACACCAAAGATGTAGTGAAGGGCCCAGTTATGAAAACTGTTGGAAAGGACGAGAGGAAGGGCTTGGGTGAGTGGCCTAGGAGTCCTCATGAAGAGCTTTGGAGTGAACAGAGATGAAATGCCATAGCAAGAGAGGAATGGCGTGGCTATATTCGTTTCCTAAAGTGGTCGCAAAGTGCTACAAACTGAGCAGCTTAGAACAGCAGAATTTATTGACTCATAATTCCGGTAGCTAGAAGCCCCAAACCAGGAGGTCAACCCGGTCACTTTACCTCTGAAACATGTAGGGGAAACCTTCCTTGACTTCTAGTTTCTGGTGGTTCGCCAGCAATCTTTGCTTATAAATTTATCACTCCAATCTTCTGTCATCACAAGGCATTTCCCTTGTGTGTCTCTTCACATCATATTCCTCTTGTATGTATTTGTCCAAATTTTCCTTTCTTCAAGAAAACCTGCCATATTGGATAAGGGTCCACCCTAATGACTTCATTTTAACTTATCTCTGTAAAGACTCTACTTCTAAATAAAATCAACATCCTGGAGTACTGGAATTAGGATATTGAATATATCTTTTTTTTTTTTTTTTTTGGTTGTAGGTAGGGGCACACACATAATTCAATCCATAAGTATTGATGAGAGAAGTCAGTGGTTTGAGAGTTTTAGAAGTTGATAGGATTTCTTTGTGGCCAATAGAGTTAGTAGCTGGGTGGCCTGGAAGAAAAGTCACTGATGACAAGGCAGGGACAAAGGAAGAGTCATCCAAGATGCAATGTATTGCCAATACTCAAACC